CTGCTTATTAAAATTAAGTACAAGTTTGAAACCCTTTTTCGATTAATATACAGATATTTGATTATTATTAATCAACGATATAATGCCTTAAAACAAACATTCAAGAAGAGAGAATGCATTGATTGTTTCCTTTATCAAATAAACGTTCTACAGAAAATGTACGAGTTTTTGGAGGTATCTGAATTTTTTTTAAGCAATTTGCTCTAACTGTTACAAATTCGTGTACAGTCTTGATTTGTCCATTAAATTTTATGTAATTAAATTCTTAAAAAAGTATAAAAGTATAATATTAAAATTAAATAAAATTAATTTGTATAAAATGGTAAAGTAAATGTAAATTTATATAAAATAAAAGCTTATGTAACGAGATTTGTTTAATCTTGTTGCATTTTTTTTTTTCTTTTTCACACGTCTAGAGAATTAACGGTTTTACCGCGGAGTAGACCTTTATTTGGAGATTGCTTCTCCGGTTCAACAAAACGTGAAAATCTTTTATTTTGTGGATTTACATTTACTGTCGTGGCTTATTTATTATTAATATATAATAAATAAATAGCTAATTTATATATTTATTTACGTGGTTACCGAAAGTAAGATCGTCGGAATTTCAAAATTTGCGATTGAAATGACACGATGCATAACTCATTCCAAATTTTTTAACGTTAAATATTACATGAATATTGTTTTTAAATCTATATTACAGTTATGTAGTTTATGAATATCAATGATGGGAATGAATATCTGATGTACTTCGAAGATAGAACAGTTGAAAATAGAATAAAAAGCTAAACATTCATCAATTTTATAAATATTTTTGGCATCTTCTGTGGCTGTAAAAATGCCATATGTATTGCTCACATTTTCACACCCATGTCTACTGTTTTCTTTCTTTCATGTATAATAGAAACATTATATTGTAAATATTTTTTATTTACATAAATGAAAATTCAAATTATACTTAAATTTATATTGGTGTTTACCTAAAACAATGCAAAGAAATAAACACCGTGACAATGCTAAACTGCTAATATTTAGTCATCTTTTATTTTAAAAAATCTCGAAATTTATATCCACCCCGNTCTCTGTTATATTCTGTACAAGTAAATACTGTACAAGTACAGTACAGTATTTTCTGAGGAAATACTCGTACTTATTTTTTTTAACCCCATTCCCGATAACTCGGCATTTTCACAAACTCGGCCACCCTTCGGTCCACATTAGGTCGAGTTTTCGAGGTTCTACTGTATATAACATGTCATCATCTAACTGATGAGAGCCATTCAAAATCGAATCCGAAATGAATTTAGGTTGCATATAACACAATAATAGTTAATTGTATGATAAACATTTAGTAATATATATTTATTATGTATTTGTAGAACGTACAATGTTATTTAACTTTAGTATATGAAGTCAGTTATTAACGGTAAATATTGTTGTCAAGATGGAATTGTCTAGATGTTCGTCTCCCGCTCTTTTGTTCTTTTTCAAACGAGCAACAGTTGCTACCATAGAAACTCAAATAGAGATATGGCCGTTAGTTTTGAAAGCAAAATCGCTGATTGACCGTCGTTTATCGTACGAGGGCCGGACTGACAAAGCGCTGATTGGTTAATAAGCGATATTCTCAATCCATAAAATAGGCAAGTTAAATCTCCCACTTAAACTCTATCTTTTTATATGGATTGAGAATATCACTGATTGACCAATCAGCGCTTTGTAGGATAAACGACGATCATACGATAAACGACGGTCAATTAGAAAAAATTAGACGACTTGGGGCACCAGGGATGGAGCAAGCCCGCGGAAGTAGCTAAGTTTACAGAGAAGTTTGAAGAAGTGTCAGGTAGATGGTTGGCAATCAACAGCGGGAAAGCTTGACAGGAATGGGACTCATGGAGAGAAATGACAGGAAAATCTATTCCCTTAACACAGTGTGCAGTCAAACAACTGCCCAAGGCTAATTGTTATGCCTGTGGAAAAACGGGCCACTGGAGGAGAGATTGTCCTAAGCGGAAGGCATCTAGTCAGTCCAAACAAACACGGCTTGTGACTACGAGGAAGACACTTCAAGCAGAGAAACGTTTAGTAGCGAAAATAACGGAGTATGATCGACCAAAGGTCGAGGAGTCACCGAATACAATTAAGGTAGTAGGCAGAGGTAATCAACTTTCGGCTATAGCGAATTCTGGAACAGAAATTTCGGTCCTAGGGGAACATTGGTGGTGGAAACAAAAGAAGAAATCCAACAAGTTGGATTCTCTGGTCACCGGATTGATGCGGTAATGATCCCAATAAGGTTGTGGGAGGAAGGCCTCACAGGATCATGGAGGTTGGCGCTGGTGATGTGTGCTGTGATGGACGAGTTACATCAGACCACGGATGCCCTATTATTGGAGGAAAGTAACCAGACGTTATTAGACCGGAAGGAGGAACGTCAGGGTAAAGGAGTAAGGAACCTAATGGTAGATGGGAGCACTCTCTCCTAGGAGTATAAACCGGTAACCTCTCTCAGAGATGGTGGGCAGCGGAAGTAGTGACAGTAGGGGAAATGGGACAAGTCTAGGATATGTCGCTCTCCCAATCATAGAAGGCCGCCGGGAATGAGAACGATAAACTGATTGTTGAGGACAGTGTATTATACGCCACCATCGGGATAGTTGAGTTAGCAGATCCAAAAACAGATTATAGTATCCCAAGAACGAAGGGTAGAAGCTTTGAGTCTAGCCCACAAAACTGCAGAAATGTCCTCCGTGGGGAGGACATTTCTGCAGTCCAAAAACGGCTGGTCGCATTCGCGAAATTTCATATTGTCCTGGCATGTGCGACCAATATTGTCCTGGCATGTGCGACCAATATTGGAAAATACTGCCAGAGCTAGCACAGGTGCCAAATAAGGGCATCGGCTCTCAATCTTGTCAGGGCTCGAATTACGACACTCGCAAGTCCCAAGGAATTTAGCGTCAGGGTTACAGTCCTGTCAAGAAAACGTACCTAGATTACAATTACGGCGACCTGTAGGAAGGACTTTCCATAGTAGAAAGAAGAGAACGAAAGGGGAACTACCGAATAAAATTAGAGGATGGTAGAACAAAATGTGTCCACGCGGACCGACTCAGGAAGCATCAAAAGAAAATTTTGTGCTGTCAGAGTAGTAGTAGATTCTGACGCAAGCTTTGGAAAATTGGTCGAAACATTGTCAACGCGACAGTTACAGGGAATCGCGGACAGAAAAGCAGGGAAATTTAGGAAAATCCCTCGACATCTCCTGGCACCATCACAGACTGGACTACATAAGGTGTTAAGAGAATACTGCCCGTTATTCAAAAGTAAGCCAGTAAAGACGAAACTCGGACGGGCTTCGTTTCTAGAATCGGAGAGACTATTCCTCCTAATCGGCTCGAGTCGAGTTCAGCTAAAGGAACTCGACTCGAGGTTGATCAAACAAACTTGTTGAAGGAAGTTTCTTTCGTCTTGCTATTTTCCTTAACGAACGCCGGAAGAATTATGCATATAACTACTCAAAAGTATGTCGCAAAATGTGTTTTCGACGGACCAGTTTTCGATTAATTGACGATTTCGGCCGTAATTTATTTTGTGTGCGTGAAACCTACGTTGTAAATATCTTAAACATTGTCATTTGTATTTCTTGTGAACATCGTAAGTTTGTGTAAATTTTATTTCTTATAAACGTTCTTAAACGTGTGATTTTTGAATTTGACTATTGTATACCTTGTTTTGTTATGCAGCGATTTCTAATAACGATTGCTAATGAAAATGTCAATTTTTTATGAGTTTTTTAATTACAAGCATACACAAAACTCTGTATATCATCAAATTGCGTTTCATCTGCTTCATTGAACAATAGGTTTTTATCTAAACTAAACTATCAATAATCGACAAAGTAGTAATAAATTCCGCTTACCATTGATGTGAAACGAGACAGAGACCAGGAAACCAGCAAACATCCCACAAAAAATAATATTGATATACAACTAACTATTAGACGAATGTAAACGTTTATGTCGTAGAATATTGCAAAGAAACAGAGAAAACAGGTTTCGTAAATGAAATGAATATATATCAAAGGACATAGAACATTCATCCTGTAGTTGATCATCTGAATAATCTCCCATAATTCTGTATGCTTTTCACAGACTTTTTGTAGTTTCTTCTTCAAAAAGTCAGATTTTCCGGTTAATATTTCTAAGTCTTCACTTAATTTTATAATTCTTTTCGCAATGAGAGTAAGAGTAAGTGCAGCCATAAAAAGAACTGAGAATATTTGTCCTATCACGTGTATTGATCCATATGAGAATACTACTGAACAGACAACTGCTTCCATTTTACTTGCGCTATCATCGTTGATTGATTGATAAATCAGCACGGTTATTCCATTTGAAACAATAAGAACGATGATAAACACAAATGCCAAACATTTCAGGAGAAATAATTCTGTTTGTTCTGCTAACTTTGCTTCGCCCTCGTATGTGCTTTTCATGAAGTGACCCGAAATCTTTGTNTACTTGCGCTATCATCGTTGATTGATTGATAAATCAGCACGGTTATTCCATTTGAAACAATAAGAACGATGATAAACACAAATGCCAAACATTTCAAGAGAAATAATTCTGCTTGTTCTGCTAACTTTGCTTCGCCCTCGTAATAGCTTTTTATCTAAACTAAACTATCAATAATCGACAAAGTAGTAATAAATTCCGCTTACCATTGATGTGAAACGAGACAGAGACCAGGAAACCAACAAATATCCTACAAAAAATAATATTGATATACAACTAACTATTAGACGAATGTAAACGTTTATGTCGTAGAATATTGCAAAGAAACAGAGAAAACAGGTTTCGTAAATGAAATGAATATATATCAAAGGACATAGAACATTCATCCTGTAGTTGATCATCTGAATAATCTCCCATAATTCTGTATGCTTTTCACAGACTTTTTGTAGTTTCTTCTTCAAAAAGTCAGATTTTCCGGTNATTCGGATAAACGACGCTGTACTGTATAGAGATTTCATTCGAAGGTTTCCGAATTAAGAAAAATATTTTAGAACCTCTACGGGAAGTGATTGACATTATATTTTTCTGAGCACTCCTGAAAATAAAACAAACGATTATTAACTGTACAAAATATGTGGAAAATAAATCAAAAAGTAAAATTAGGATGTGTGTATTAATATAAACAAAAAAATCTGGAAATTTTTGAATTAATTTATACCTGTTAATTCTCTAAACATTTTTTTAGGATGCTCAACGACTGCATAAAACTATTGAACATTAAGTCCCTTAGTAATGAGTAACATTATCAAAAGCGTTGGACAGCGATCCTCTACGGTTCGTTGGAACTACAGTACTTACGTTTCTAGCCTTGATAAGGTGATGACTAGCGACAGATCAGTATTATTAGGACCTTAGATATAAGAACTTACTTGTGCAATGTCTAAAAGGTGTTCAACTTGTTCGTCTGTAAAGTTGCTTAGCATGCAGTCTACATAGATAGGGTATATGTCCTAAATAAAAATAAAAAAAATAAGTACGATTTGTATTTCATTATAATTATATGTTAAAAATAAAATAAGAAATATAAATCATTAAACATAAAATGCACTAAAATTTGACTAAAGTATTGAGTGGAGATGTAGAAAATATTTGTTACATAGTGCATAATGATGCATTACGAATGCATGGACATAATTAATTAAAGTAGTATGCTATATTCTAAAATATAAAAGAAATTTCTGCAGGAAAGATCTACTCGAACGTAAAACTTAGTTTTTAAATTAAAACTTATCTTTTGTTAATAGTAGACGAAATTTATTGTTTCGTCGCTATATTCAGTTAAGCCTACCAGTGGTACCCAAGCCCCGGGCCGCGGACCGGTACCAGACTGTGGATCAAATGGTACCGGGCCGCCCAAGGAACATTAAATTACTGATGTTTTCATTTTATTTACTATGGTGTATTTCTCTCGGGTTTGTGCTACTTTTAATGGACGACGGAACAACGGAATAAACTGGACATAAGAAACAAACTTCGGGTGTCATTGTCTCCTATTACCCCCAGATGGAACCGTCTTGTTGCAAAAAAACAAGCTNACATAGAAATGTATATTAATAAATGGAATTAAATTAAATAATATTCACTAAAACGTATACGTACTGTAAATGTCATGAAACACAGAAATTAAATTTCATTAATTGTAGTACAAAAAATTAATAATTTTTGTACTACAGATTATGTTTTCTATATTTTTCAAGCAACTGCATTTTTCTATCGGATCGATACCAAACACTTTGGTAACAGAAATTATTGCATGGAAGTTATATACGAGACAACGATCCGATTGTGTCGAATTGTAATGTACGTTTTCTCTTCTGCTGAAAATCTTTCTTCCCTGGGAAATCAATTTTTGCATTCTTACCTTTATATGCTCTATATAAATAAATTTTACAACAAAAAGTGAAAACGACACAATGAATAATTTTTACTTGTTTTCTGTACTTGTGAAAATGCAAATTACGTTTAAAATGTAATAAAATACGAAATATTGCGATCCATATAAAGTTTCAAGTCATTTAGACAGTGTTTAAAACAAGTATTGAATTTCAATTATATATGAATTAGTCCATTCAGTTGTGACAATATTGTTGTATGAATATTTTTATTTTAGCTCCATAGAAAATGTTAAATATGCAAAAGTTCGCAGCCTTAGCTTATAGAAGTGTTTCATTTTTTGAGCATTAAAACGTGATATAAATTGTTACTACTTTATATTGTATCATATCCATAAAGATCGAATACAATAATGAATAATTAAAAATACTTAGTAAAATAGTTAATTAGATTGATAAACAGATTAATTGCTAATTGTATTTTAAATGCATTATTTCTTCTGATATTAATACACAGATTTAACATTCAAAAATTATGAAAATTCTACTTCTGTTTGTTTCATGCATGCAATTTCTTATTTCCAAAAGTAAATGAAATGAGGCATTATATTACATTAGTATGACAATAAGTGGATAATGAAACATTATTTACATTCTTCAATGTATAATAGTAAGTTGTGCGTATGAAATTACTGTTTCCTATTGTTTTGAAAGTATTTCTATTGCATTTTTCATTTTGCGTTTTCGTCTTAAATTGAAAAGTAAATTTCGAAAATGGCATATATAATCGCAATATAAAGAATCATGTCGTTTGCTGCTTAAAGATGTTTGCCGAAGAGTCCCGTAAAAAGTTTATTCAAAGACAGAAAAATACGTTCACTTATATAATACGGCTTAGTTGGGGTCTAGTTCTACAGCTCGCTAATAAGAGCTTATCGTATCATAAAGAGAATTCTTTGTATCGGATGGAAAGAAATTTATCTGTATACAAATGTACAATATATGAAATAATTGCTATATTTAATGAAATTACGGTTTGTGAATTTACTACATAATGTATCTTTCCTACTTACATTGAGTTGTTCTGAATTATTCATCTTTATGACCAGCGACATTAACAATTCATCGATATATAAAGGAGATGAAAACACGAACAACTATCTACAGAGTTTAAAAATTTTACAATTACAAAATTCGGTTTTATAAATGTAACATTATTACATAATCACAATATCAGTAACAATAAGAAAAATCAAGGTACCGAAACGTTATCAATAGTGAAAANACACTTCGGGTGTCATTGTCTCCTATTACCCCCAGATGGAACCGTCTTGTTGCAAAAAAACAAGCTCAGGGTTCTCATTGATTTAGCGTTCTAGTGGGTTAAAATGTTAAATCACATTGTATTCATTTTTTGTGTAACTGTATTTTTTATTTTGAAGTCATGTTTAAATACAATTAAATTAAATCAGTCTAAAATATAAACAATCAACGTCCCCACTCAGTGGGTCGCGGTAAAATATCAAACGTTGACATTACATTACATTACATTAAATTGAAAAAGGGGGAAATCCTCCAGGCAACACTCAGAGGTACAACCTGGAAGTGGTAAAGAACGGAAGGAAGGAAGAGACATGGGAAGAGTAGGGGATGAGCGTGGGGCAGGGTAAAGTTGAGATCTCCAGGCGCNAATGGCATATATAATCGCAATATAAAGAATCATGTCGTTTGCTGCTTAAAGATGTTTGCCGAAGAGTCCCGTAAAAAGTTTATTCAAAGACAGAAAAATACGTTCACTTATATAATACGGCTTAGTTGGGGTCTAGTTCTACAGCTCGCTAATAAGAGCTTATCGTATCATAAAGAGAATTCTTTGTATCGGATGGAAAGAAATTTATCTGTATACAAATGTACAATATATCAAATAATTGCTATATTTAATGAAATTACGGTTTGTGAATTTACTACATAATGTATCTTTCCTACTTACATTGAGTTGTTCTGAATTATTCATCTTTATGACCAGCGACATTAACAATTCATCGATATATAAAGGAGATGAAAACACGAACAACTATCTACAGAGTTTAAAAATTTTACAATTACAAAATTCGGTTTTATAAATGTAACATTATTACATAATCACAATATCAGTAACAATAAGAAAAATCAAGGTACCGAAACGTTATCAATAGTGAAAAAGCAATAAGTATTTAACGAATAAAATCGAATTAAAATAAATATTTTTACGCACATTTTAGAATTGTGATTGAATTCTATTTTAAATTATGAAATGTTTTTGTCATCCAATTAATCGATCCATCTTAAATCCTTGAATTTACGTATTTTTAAAGAGTTTTTCGTTTGTAAAGTATTTCATGAACGACCTTCATTTACTAAAGTTAAAGGTAAGATAAAGGAATAATGCTGCTGTTAATTTATCGACGAATACATGTGGATCTTACATCTACTAATCGAAAACCTTGAACGTTAATGATCCAGATCGAAACTACATTCCAAACGGTAATTATGTATAAGTAAATGCATGTGGTTAGTGCATGTTGTGTGCATAAGAAAGTGAAGCAATGTTTACTTTTAATCAGAAGGAGCTTTCGGGAATGATTATGGATTTATATTTGCAAATGCCACACATTTTTCTAGCAAACATATCCCTGATATCGGAAAAGTGCATAATATAAATCTACTAGAATTATGTCAATCACACTAATGGAAAATATTGATTTGTCTGAGAGGAAATTTATCTTCTAAAATCTCGTGCAATGTTCATAGAGAAAGTAAGATGAGTGCGAAACGGGTTAATAACTTCATGCTTTGTTGAATACCATCGAAATTTATTTGCGAATAAACTAGAGAAAACATATTTAAAATACTTTTAAGTATTTACTGTAATTTTCTGAATTTCAATAACAAATAATGAGTAACTGTTGACGACGATCTCAAAATACAATGACATTGATTTACAGAAAGTAAAATGATGAATCCTTTAAAAAAGTATGCAGTATTATTACAATTTTTTTAAAGCTAGATTTAATAGAAAGGTATATATAACTGCAATTTGCTTTATGAAATTTGTGTGCAATTTGCTTTATGAAATTGCACACAAATTTGCACACTAATTGACGGATTGCAATTTGCAGAATGTTAAGAAATCCGTTCTAAGTGAAATTAACATAGAAATGTATATTAATAAATGGAATTAAATTAAATAATATTCACTAAAACGTATACGTACTGTAAATGTCATGAAACACAGAAATTAAATTTCATTAATTGTAGTACAAAAAATTAATAATTTTTGTACTACAGAAGAAATAGAATGTCGTCTTTTNGGCCCTGTAGTTGGGGATGGCAAGATGGCTGGCTCCCAAAATGCTGAACTTTAGAAATTAAAGTTAGCAGAAAAGTTAGGCTTAGCAAACCTAAGCCTAACACCCTAGATAAGCCTAACTAAGGCCTAACCTCCTATACTACAGTATGGGAGGTAGACCGCTAACCCTAAAACTAGGCCTAGGCAAAAAACTTTGAAAAATTTTAAGTCCAGAGCACGCTTACATACATCTTGACTGCTCGAAAGCTGAACTCCCTCTTATCAAACGTTGACAGGTCCGCGGCGATAAAAAGGTTGGGGACCGCTGCATTATGCCATTGAACACGGGATCTTGGGTTCGTGCCTCGCCAACATATCGGCTACATATAATTTTGGAGTTATCTTCACGTTAATAACACTTAAATAGGGGCTTGTTCGCATAGAAGACCTTCTCCTTTGCATATAGTTAACGTGGCGCGTTGTGTAACCAAATAAACCAAAATAACTATATTCGGCTTATATCTTTATTAAATGTCTTCACGTAATTAAATTTCATATAAATTCACTTTTATCGTAAGAAATTAAAAAAAAAATAATTATTAATAATACTTTATAAAGAATATATTTGCTACTCACCACATCGCTTGTAAAGAATATAAAATAGATGGCAAAATAATTGGAGTTAATTGGAATGAAAGGTCGAGCACAGTCGTACAAGATTTGAAGAATCTGTATTTTAAGAATTTTCGTTTAATTTAAATCAATTATAATTTAAAAATAATCAAAACATGCTTACGTCATCTCTAAATCCGGAAAAAAGACAAAAGACAGAATCCATTTTGTTTTCTAAAAAGAAACATTTTCAAATTCTTAAGCACAATTAACAAATTAAACCTTAACGTAAGGTTATAAAACTCACCGCAATATTCATTACAAAAGGATTCTTTTTCATCCTCTCCGGTAACAATGATGAAGATAACACAAAAAACAATAACAAATAATTTTCCCTTAATCATAGTGTCTTCACGTTGCTGCAATGTATTAAGAACATTCGTTTATTGTGTATTAAGTAAATTACTTATAGACTATCAGTTATTCACTTTATTTAAAGTTTATTATCTGTCAGTAATTACGCATAATGAATTTATTTATCGAAAAATTTGAAAAGAATATTACAGAAAATCCAGCAACGGGTTACGTTGCTTTCCCGGCAAAAACACGTAAAACTGTGTGTATGGCGCCATCTGTTATATTACAGTAGAGCATCGATTATCCGACCGTTCTAGTCGGCAAATTCAAATGCCCGCTAGTGATGTGGCGCTACAATATTTGGCTATGTCTTGGCTTCTTTAATAGTACTTTTACGTGTTTTAGCTGGCAACACTGGCTCGACCATGAAAGGGAGCCAGTATTTAAACGAGGCTTGATTTTCTAATTTTTAACCATACAATAGCAATGGGTTACGTAACTTTCCCGGCAAAAACATTTAAAACTGTGTGTCGCGCGATCTGTTATATTATTACAAATGTTTATACGGTATCAATTATTATAAAGTGAAAAAAAAGCTTAATTTATTGAAAAGAAATGAGTTTTACATTTAAAAAAACCGTAAATGCTATTAGGCAAAATCAAGAAATTCGCCCTCACTCCAGATAAGATATATCACACCTCTGAATTTCTTCAGTTTCTCCAGCGTTCGCAAGCAAACTTTAATAGCATCGATCACCCTAATACACAAACTTTTCCGCAGAATATCAGAAATTTTCAATGAAAAGGAGAGAAGTTATTAAGCTTTGAATTGGATGAACAGGAAGAGCGTGCCTTCTTAAAAACACACAAACTCTAACAAGCAGACAAACATATGTACTTACATCTGTGCAAATGTTTGTTTGCCCATTACTTTCCACTCGGCTACCAGTGGGTCGAGTGAACACGAATGGGCGTCAGATGTTTGTGCATATATTTGTACCACTGAACAAGTTGGTCTTGGGTTAAAGCCTCGCAAACGGGCTTTATTTTATTTTATTTTTATTTACCTCTGTAGCTTCTTTTAGGAAGGCCATTATGTCTTCGCCCTGCACATTACATGGGATGGGTCCCGACGTATCCGAATTTACCACCACCTGAAATATTCCTGGGAATAGTTCGACCTGTTCGGTTTCGATGCCGGATCTCCAGAGCGGTTGACTCCAACTTTAATCGCTCGAACATCCGGCCGTTTATCGCCATGTTGCTGGCCAAGTGGTGTTTTCGGGCTTTCTTGACGTTTGTGACACCTAAGTAATGGCCACTTTTCTATAGAAAGTCTTCCCGAAAAACGTCCCTCTTGGCTGATCGCCCACGTGTCGCGTTGAGGTAATTAAACAAAAAAATCGACTACGCCACCAAAGGATAGAATTGCCGAAAAATTTAAATTAGCGTTGCCAAAAGCGTTACAAAAGTAGCCAAAAATCGTCAAATGTCGAGGAAAGTATTCAAAAATCTTGGCACATTTTTATTTAAAAAATGTAATTTGTTATCAGATAAAATTAAGTAGGGGCATTTGATCACATTATGTTTGTCGGTAGTAATAATTTTAAAGCATTGAAAAAAATTAATATGAGTGACTAACAAAATGGTGTAGAATTAACTCTGGCACGTAATTTATATTAATTTCAGTATGCTATGTTATTCCTATTGTTGTTCGATCGTGCACTAAAATCAGTGTTTTGTGCTTTTATTCATTCGGCCTCAAAGGCCGTAAGCACGAATTTTCAAAAAGCAGCTACAAACACGTTTCCGACTGAACAGCGCCAGATTTTCCCGATGGAAACAATTTCAATTAAATTTTTCTCATAAATTTATACACGATCTGCTTTGTACTGTACTCGTACCAAGTTTCGTTCTATTCGGTTCCGTAGAGCGAGCTCCAGGCGTGTTTGAAAACCATCAATTTAATTCTAACTAATCTAAAGCTTTCTGTAACATACAAAAAGAGGAAAAAAATCTTACCTCGCTACACACTAAAGCTGCGTGTTAAAATATACTGGACGTTATAAACTACTTATACGTCGTTTATTCAAAGCCGTTTAAAGCATATGTATTGTACAACTATGAGTCACTCCTTTTATATAACATTTCACACGAAAACACCACCTGCGACTTCGTTCAACGTACGTGAAAATTTACTTTTACATTACTTTTAATCATTTATGTAAATAAAAAAAAATGGCTAATATTTTCCATTTTATATTCATATTTTTTTATTTAAATTTTTTTCAAAAGATATGCGTCCACCAACGGCTCTGCTCTCTGAACACTGGCACTCAGGGTTTTCGCCTGGCCGGACGGGCTGGCCACATAGAAGTTTACGGGTTTTCTCTACATCTGTAACGCCTGGATAGCGGCCAGTTATCCTAAAAAGTTCTCTTGGAAGGCATCTCCCATAGACAGAACGCCCAAATGTTGCGTTGCTATAACTTAATAAACAAACGAAGGACACGCAGTGTGTGCCTTATGTCCCCTTTCCAGTCATTATTTTGTATAAAAGTAAAACTAAAGAGTATATTTAACAGTTATTTATGTTTAACATACGTATAGAACTCTCTAAAAATTCAAAAATTATCTAAAAATGTAAGTAATGGTGACTACTGAGTAATTAATTGTTAAAAACGTGGGATATAACAAGTAAAAGTAAAATAAATAAATTATAATTAAATAGCCTATATATAATTAAAAATGATAAAAAAAAGTAATAAACGGATATACATATAATATAAATTTTGATCTAAATGTAGAAAAATTCACCAATAAAAAAAGTAAAAACAAAACTTTTAAAACCAATAAAAATTAGTTTTCAACAATTAGTTATATATTTTTAGGTAATTTTTTATATATTTTGCTACTTGTACGCGTATTTTAAATATAAATAAATAATAAATATACTGTAAGTCCTTATACACTTTTACCTTTATACATAATAAGGGACTGAAGAATGGCATATGGTCCGAAATGCATACCCTTTGTAGAAAATAGAAAATAAAAATCCACTTTTTCCATCGACAGGAGTTACGCTGTGTAAAAAGCTCTCAATTGTTTTTTTACACTTGGTTCCAGGGGACATACAGCAAATCTAAAGGACTTTAATATAAAATCTAAGAAGTCGAGTTAATTATTTATTTTTCTTAATTATTTAAATAGAAATGAGAAATTATTTATTTTGATCGCAATGCCGGGCTGCAATTTTTAATAATATTTTTAATGTTTATTTAATTTGAAATTGACTTTCGATTTTCATAGGAAGTTCATATACAGTAAATCGGGCACCCGTGTTCTTAATTAATCTTTCCATATGTGGCTTCGCAACTATCTTAAAAATCCATCAGAGAGTTAGATAACTTTCCTAGACAAATCTTAAAATTGTGTAAGACGACATTTGTTTTAGAATCCCCATACGAACACAAACTAAGATCCATACATACAGAAAATACCCCCGAATTTTTTCTATTGCATTAACTCGACGTTTAAATGTCCCCTTTAAATTCATTTTTTTTTGACAGATTGCCCTACTTTCTCTGTTATATATTTTGCAATATGCAACAGCTGTCATATTTGTAAATGTAAAGTCTGGAACGAGCAAAAACAACGCCTACGATGGCGCGCTTAACTAGACAGTGTAGGAGTGTAGACAAATATTTAATTTTATTTCTTATAAATTTCTGTAAAATCACTAATATTTAATTATTAAGATGGAAGATATTTCAGAGAACATTTTACATTCTCGTTTTAGAATCCATACTCTATTTAGATATTTTATTGTCAGTTTAAAATTTTTTTATAGAATGAATAAAACTGAACAAAATTAGAACCTCAAATACAGTATCGAAAAAACACAAGTTGTAAGTATTGAGTTGTAAGATATGTAAATTATAATAGTCAAACCCCGTTATTACGTTACAGAAATATGAGAAGTACGAGTAACGTTAATGCTAAGCAATTAGAAGTCCCGTAGACTAAGTAGACATTTCAATGTTAATGGTTTGGTTTGGTTTTTATTTGCATAACGGCACTTCGACGATCTGCCAAAGATCGACAATGCGTCCGAGGAAGTGATGCTTTTCGTGAAATCTTTTATGGGAAGTTGTCCCCTATTAAAATATTACTAACGTATTTATTACTAACGTGATATTATCTTCAGCCGCTAATGAACTTGTACAAGATCTTCATTGAAGTGTTATATATCACTAAAGATTTTATTTAATTTATGGTAAGATTTACAGTTACGGCAATGCTACAGTTATGTGATCTGCGTAAAGGGAATTATTTTCTCGAGGTCTTTTTAAGGGTCTGGCTTCTATTCAGGTGGAGAAAACCCGAAAAACGACGTGGCCAACCTGTCTGGCATGGCAAGAAATCACGACCCGTACTCCCAGTGTTCAGGATATAGAACCACTCGGAAAGTGGTGGGCCTTGGTTTCTCTGAAAAAAACGTTAAATCATTTTCAAAATACAGTTTGTCATGCACTGAAATCACTATTCTAGCTTTAAAGTGATTTTATTTATTTGACTACAAGCGGAATTTTTATTTTCCGCTGTATCCACGTTAAATTAAGTTTTCCGCATCAATTAACCTTCTCAGTTCGTGCATTGGAAATCTTTGTCTTAAATTTTTTATGCCGAAGCATCTTTCCGTTTAGGCAAGTTCTCATTTTATACAGGTTTCACTCTATAAACATATAAACTGTATAAATTGCACAAATGCAGCAACATTAGTAAGTACAAAAACAATTAAACTTTTCTAAAGCCGTAAAAAGCACTTAAAAACAGGTTATAAATTCTAGTATTTCATACTTTTTAAAAGAATAAACATGTTTACAACTTTAAAACAATCACTTAAATCTGTTTCAGTTGTTTTATTTGTGTTAATGGCGCAAAAGTGGTGCCCTATAAAATAATAAAAATAATTATAAAAGCAATATTTCTTTCTTTTCGTTTGATATTTAATGTTTCCAATATAACAATTCGAAAATAAAACAGATGGTAGAGACAATATAGCCAATGAAAATCAAAAATAAAGCTCCAAAAAAATGTTCAATGTCCAACGGATGAACCTTTGAAATTTCAGCCATTTTCATATTAGGTTTAGTATTATGATAATCGATGATACCAGCTTCATACATCCTGGAAACTCTAGATAAAGAGAAAGTCTACTGTCACAGATCAATTTAAGAAATTATTAATATACATCAATAGACTAAATATCAAACATCTTACATATTAGAGACATCTTTGTTATGTGGAAACGTCATGATTGACATGTAAGCAGAAGGGAAAGAAGCAAAAGAATCCTTAGAAATTGTGAATTTTTCGAAACCGTGTTCGTTTACCAGCATCATAAGAGTTGTATCGTAACCGATTAAAGCGAAATTTCCTTTTAAAATATGTTTAAATCCTTGATCGAGTGTAAAAAAGTTCTTCTTTCCTTTTATATGATCTGCCAGAAGTTTCATATTTCCAGAAGGCGAACTCTGCAATAAATCAAAAACTTATTTCCCAATTTTAATTGTACTATTCATAAGTCAGTTTATGTGAAAATTATAAAGATGGCCATATATTCAAAGCTGTAATAAAATGCCATTCAATGGGTGGTCTCCATTATTTACTGTTTTATTTCGTGTATTTTTACTATAAAGTGGCCTCTAAGGCAGAGATATATGATTTAGATTGACTAACTAGAAAATTACTTCACTATATCGCTTTGAGAGTTAACAATAAATACACATTTCAATTCTTATAATATGATTTTTGTCAAGACTCGTAAGAATCTTATAGCAAGAGTTCACAAATATATTCGTACTTACTAATATATATTCAGAAATTGGACCCCCATATAAAACTCCACAGGAATATTTTCCATTTAAAACTGCAGAGGCTAATTCAGGTATTGTTGTTGGTACATGTTCCATTAGAGGAGAAGTCATAAATGACATCATGGTACCACTGTAGCTGGAAAGTAGCACAACAGCTGATATCATCCACATACCTACCATGATTCTCAGGGAAAACCGATTTAATTTACTGATGTTTCCTCCTGAAACAATTTATATAAACAACAATTTAAATTTATAACTAAAATGTGAAAAATCGACTCTGTCACTTTACCTTGGTAAGTTAAAGTACCAAATAAATACCAAAATGTCTCCATTCTTGTCCATTGCTTAATTTGTTTTCGTGCATTAAAATTTTTATGCATTATTTGATGCAATATTAATCCGAATAATATAGTAATAACAAATATTACTATCCATACCTGTTTATACAAATATACTTTCGTGTTTATATAAAACTTAGTTTAAAAATATTGAAGAAATCTCACCTCAGGAGCAAAAGGTTTGCCAAAAGAATACCAGTTGGGATTTTCTTCTGGTGCTCGAACAACGAATAAGATACTATTATATGCCACCAGAGATGAATAGTGCAGAATTTCGTACAGGTCCTTTCTGATAAAGGTGGGAAAGTAAGCAAACTCTGCTTTCTGTAACATTGAAAATTTTACTTTCTGTTATTAATTTAGCAACACCTATATCATTAAACTAAAATCGATGATGTTCAGAGACCAGTATTGCAATTCATACCAATGGCATACCAAGAATGTAATTTATATGAGTTACATTTTATGATATGATTTGTTTTATACCTAATATTAAACTATGTTACCTTTCGGTTTATGATAATAACTTAATGAAAAATACATGGACTCAAAACTCATTAAACATTTCAATAATTTATATATTGAAATGAATGAATATTTGACATGTGGTAAGCGGTTAGCTTGGAAATTTATAGTATAAAGCGAGGTTTTTTCCAGAAGTGTCGAAATTAGTTCTCGTTATGTCCACCAGTAAACCGTTGATCCATATCATCATAAAGGACCGCACCATAGCAAACGCCAATGTGGCGGTCTTCGTTGTCAGCACAGCCTGAAGACAAGTGATGTTATGGGCAACATGAAATAACATTTATCACAGTATAATTGATGCCGTCCATTGCATACAGATTTTACCATCGTCATTGATGTTGGAGATCTTCAGGATCGCTCAACATAATTGACTTTACAAAAATCAGATAGTCCTGAGCCAAAAAATCACAGGACATCGCGTCTGGACACCTAGATGGCTATTCATTCTGTAAGTGACGGCTTATCATTCCATTCTCTTCAAACAAAGATAGTACGAGTAACAGTTGCTTAACAGGAAAAGCTACACGTGAAGGTGCCTTATTTTCCGTGAATGCCACAACATATAACGTTTGCCTTTTTTCCAGGTTAGCATAACGGTAACTTGTTATAGTGACTGTTTCAAAAGCAGCCACCTGTCTGACGTCAATTGTAATAAAGCTCCACCTAGTGGGCATTATTAAAACTAATTTTGACACTTCTGAAAGTAACCCGCGTAATTCTATGTATTTCTATGATAATCCCGTTAAGATGCGATAAAAGTTCACTGAAATATCAATTCTTTAAATGTTTACTGACTTTAGAATCACTTTGATTGTTGCGGAAAGTCAACGAAAACATGGATAAGTCAGAGAATTGAAGAGTCAACTGAAAAGGAAATCTTGTCTTTATTATTTATTACATAGGCCTGGCACAGTGTGGCTGGAGTTGTACATGATTCATAAAACACTAATAAATTCAATCTAATCCGAAAAATTAGACTTTCTTTGAGAATATCACACAAATACACAAATTACTTTCTGATTATATTAACAATAACTTACATTATTTACCAGCTGACCGTACATTCCAATCCACGTGCCATTCTTTAATCTTCCTGTCAAAATTTCAGGAATTGGCTTCACCATTTGATAACTATAAAGAAATATAGAATTTAATAAATACAATAAAATGTCGATTTAACGCACTAATTGGGAGATCGAGGTGTATTTTATCGAATTAAAATATAGTCAAATACTGAACATCCAATGGCTGGAACGTAAAAAATGACCTTTGTTGGAAGCGGCGGTTACTTTGCACGAATTTTTATTGTTAAACCTTTGTAATTATTTATGATAACCTTTTATTAATAAATCTTCCTCTAAATACGGCCATCGTTATTGGAAGTTCGGCTGTATTACGCTACCATACATTACACGAAAATTGCTGAAAATAGCTACAAGGTATTGATTCCAATTTCATTGTAATAAAAACTTTTAAGTAATAAGCGATCAAATACAGTGTAAATCTTTCATTTTTATTTATAAATTTAAATTTTATACAGTAGACACCCCTATAACACTGTTGATAATTCTGTGATATATGAATTCTATGTTATACGAGTCACTTAGATTTTACAAATACGTGTGCCGGGCTGTGAACGGCTCACGTATTTGTAAAATATAAGTGACTCGTACAACAAGTAATTCATATAACACGGAATTATCAAGAGTGTTATAGGGGAATCACTGTATTATATAAATCACTGATATTATGAGAAATTACAGAAAAATAAATAATTTCATCATTACGTAAATTTTAGTTCTTCTTGTAAGATTTTGAAGAGGTTAAAATGAATTCCTTCAATAATTCTTTCTTCTTTTGGGTCGAATTTCATAATACGATCGATCTGAAACACATTCACGTTAAATTTTTCTTTTAAAAATAGAGAAATCTTTCAGAAATCAAGTTACCTGTACTCCTGCAATTTTCCATAAATTTCCATTACTAGTGTTATCTGTTGAAATGTAAATATACATTTAATTAGGCCATAAGCACCGAATGAAATACACGTCATTTAGTAAAACACCAGTGAAAAAGTTGGGCATTTAAAAATTTAAATTACTGAACTTGTAATAAATTTTAGAAAACGAAAAGTTCTGTCATCCAGAATATATATAAGGCTACCAGATACGATTTAAAACTCTCGCATTAAGAGATAGATTAATTAATTATGTGTTTAATGTATAACATCAACCCATTAATCAACATGAGTAGTATTAATGTGCATTTGGATAGATTCAATTCGCAGTTGAATGGTTTTGCCTATTAAATCCCATTAAACAGAATTCTGAGTGACTTACAATGAATGAGAGAAACAATGACACAACTGCACAACTACACGTAATAAATCATGTAGGTCATTCTGTAATAGACTGAAACACAGTTTTCAACATTATGTACAAATGAATCGAACAGTTCAATTATACAGAATGAAACTGTAAGCACTATACAGTTTCATTATACAACAGTAAGCAGTATACTTTCGTTTCTCTCCAATTTCAGCTCGTATTTAACTATCTATTTTTGTAAGTGTGTCGGTTGGACTACACACCTCTTCCTGCTAAAAGAGCACTAACGAGAGTACGAAAATTCGTGTTCTAAGTATAGAAATAAGGACTTCTGAATGGAAATGTTTTACCTTATACTTAAAACTTGTTTATAATCAGAAATATGTTTGTCTTATTATGTGATTGTTGCTATATAACTGAGATAATTGTAAATTTGTGTTGTCAAGTAAACAAAAATACAGTACTTATAAATATAAATGCGAATTATAATATTTATAGTAATCGATTATCACGGCTCCCCATAATACTATAGAGTTTCTAAATTACCTTGTGTTTACATGGCGAGACAACGGGTTTTCCCTAAAAATACGAGTAAAAAACTATAAGCTGCATATATATGCTATTCCATTGGCTATTTGTCTCTACTATTCTCTTATTTGTCTACAATTTTTCACACCGCTGTACAAGGTTTACAATTACCGAGGTTTTCTATGAACAATAGATTAATTTGATTTGGTTTGATGCATCGACTCAACACGTACGCGATTTGCCAAAAGAGGGCTTTCTATAGGAAACTGGGCATATTTAGGTATTATACATGTAAAAAAAATCAGAAAAACTACCGCAAGACCCAGTTTGTTAGGCGCGAACTCACGACCAGTGTTCAACGTTGTTATTCATCCGGTGACTGGCAAGCCTGATACAATTGAAAAACATATTAAATAAATTAATAAATAAGCTTTCTCTACTCACCCGTTCCATCAAGAGTTACTATGAAAGTTGCACTAATTATAATCAATTGAAGTGTATTCATATCCTTATAGAGTGGCCCTGTGTAATACGATAGTAACATGCAATATCGATATTTTATTATTATAGCTTTATAATAACAATATAAAATTATATACAATCAAGAAAAACATGATATTACTTTTGTTTATCCAATAAATAGAAATTGAACATAATAAACAATAGAAATTGAACACAAGAAGTTTCAAGAAGTTAATATGAAGGCCAAAGCAAATTTCACGTACAATTTTATTTAATCTAGAATTTAGTAATGCTAATACAAGTAATATATAATTGACATTGAAAAATAATTGTAATATTTTATACTGAATTTTTTATATTGAAAACTTATGTACTTACCTTTACATCGTTTTATAATTAGTGAGAATATTACAAGATAATGAATAACTGACTTTCTACTAAAACAGAGAGTTACTTGAACGTTGCGTGAAGACAAATTTCTAATCAACTGACTTATTCAGAATTTTATAAACATAAAGATGCGAATTTAACGATCGATAAGGACATTCGAAAACGTGACTTACTCTCTTGCATACGAAACAAGGTGCTGTACAATAGCTTTCACCTTCTATAAATTATAGTTATGAATATATAATGAAGTGAATTTTAAAACTAAATACATAAATAATACACCTGTATATTTAAAGATACTTTGGAAATTAAATAATAAATCTAATAAATAATTTATAAACTTTTTTATAGAAGTCTATTATATATAAGTATATTTACACAGTTCTAAAAATAGACTGCTAATGGCTTAGTGAATAAAACACTAGGCTACTATTAGATTAAACCACGTAGTAGTTATTAATATGTAAATTTTCGACTATAAATTCGTATCTTCTATTATCAGGACTTATTAAACTGGCTTTACAGATAATATTACAAAGATTAACAGAAAACAATTTTTATTTTATTTCATATACCCGTGGTATTATAGAAGATACGAATTTATAGTCGAAAATTTACATATTAATAAGAAAAAAGGACATTGAGGAATTTTAATTAAACACGTAGTAGTTAGTTACTCGCGGGGTAGCGCCTTAGTAACAGGCTGCCTATGTAGTGTTATAGGTTTGGAAGATAAAATGTTCTTTAATAGAAATGTCATGAGGTTAACAGAGCCTTATTTTTATTACTTTATATGATCATAATGTAGCCTATACATAGATAAAACCATGTTTATTGATGAAAATGTAAATGATATAATGAAGTTTCAAAATTTTTCTTCGAAGAAAGATAACGATTCAAGACTTTATAACTAAAAAACTGGTTTTTATTTAGGTATTAAGCACACGAAGAAACCTGGAAAATTCCACTTGTGTAGCTTATTGGTCAGATTGGAACCCAAAAGTTTAGTGGAATTAGCCACTTGGCCATAGGTAAGCGCGACATTAAAAAGTTATCAACAAAGCATAAAACGGGGAAAAATTGAAGGGAAAACTTTGTTCTGCACGCAATAATATTAAATAAAAAAGGTAAACACTTCAATTCAATAAAATTAATTACTTTCTTCTGTGCGTAAACAAATGTCTAATCAATAAACAGATAGGTCTACTTCAGTTTTCATCACGAAACCTGTCGTTATTTTAAATTGTTTGTTTTATATAGTTATGGTAATGCAACACTTGAGTGATCTGCCTAGGAATGCCTTCTAAGAGGTCTTTCTAAGGGTAACTGGCCCCTATTCAGATTTTACAGACGTGGAGAAAAACCGGAAAGCACCATGTGGTCAGCTCATCCTGGCCAGGCACTAACCCACGACCGAACTCTTAGTGTTCGGAAAACTGAACCGCTTGGCCACTTGGCCCGTTATTTAAAATAAACATTGTAGAGTACTTTTTAATTTCCTTTATACTCTAGCTTTTACATCACAGTCACGATATAAAATTCTACTTGAAATCGATTTATAATTTAATTAAAAAACATTTTTGTTTAATTTTAATTAAATTCAACACCAATTAAATAAACGTCACACTTTCATTTAGTATATGCATTTTATTCATTCGTATAATATGAAAGTTTCTAATTAATTTACTATATAATCCATCGGTTACATTTAATATCCTTTACCAAATTTAGCGTGTACACATATAATGTTGCGTGTTACTTGCGTGGCACTTGCATATTGTGTTTTCTCTAACTTTGAATATAAACTTCTAACACGCAACTTCATATAAAATTAATGGTACCTGAAAAAATTGTAAGTATACATACGAAGTTTCCAATATATTAATACGTATTAATGATAACGTCTATAGTTCCATTTTAATAAAGATTTTCTGCACTGACATCGAAATATCTTGTGAAATATAACATTAGCAAGAAAGAATCGTGACAAGCCGCCATTCTGGTTTTTACATACGATCTAAGTCAATAGTAGATCCAGAAATTTTTAAAGGAGCGCAGAAAGGAAACAATATACTTTGGAAAACAACATGCTTGAGCCTTGAGGTACCTACTGATTTTACTCGCGTAAATGCATAGAATGGGAGTGCAGTTTAGCTTTGAATCCTTTCTCATCTCACCTATGACGATGGCTAGAAGCAAGAAAACAATTCAGAATAAAAATAATGTAAAAATGCCTTTTGTCTATTAACACACCGGAGTAGTGAAAAAATAAACGAAGAAAAGAAAGTCATAATCCAAACTGCCCAGTTAAATTCATCTGGATAGTTATTTGTTAAATTATGGCAACGAAACACTTCGGCAACCTGCCTAGGGGGTAGGTGGTTTCCAAAACAAACATTACTGTTATCATTAACACGTAATAATATGTTGGAAACTTTATATATATACTTACAATTATTTTACGAGCTATTGATTTTATATGAAGTTGCGTGTTAGAAGTTTATATTCGATGTTAGAGAAAACACAATATGCAAGTGTCACGCAAGTAACACGCAACATTATATATGTACTCGCTTAATTTGGTAAAGGATATTAAATGTAACCGATGGATTATATAGTAAATTAATTAGAAACTTTCATATTATACAAATGAATAAAATACATATACTAAATGAAAGTGTGTCGTTTATTTAATTGGTGTTGAATTCAATTAAAATTATTTAAAAAACTTTTAAAATTAAATTATGAATCGATTTCAAGTAGAATTTTATATCGTGACTGAGATGTAAAAGCTAGAGTAGTGTTTTTCAACTTTCTTGAATACGCGACCCCTTTACAAGTTAAAAAATTCTGGCGATCCTTTAGGGCCATATTAAAACTATATCAGTGATTTTAAAAACTACGTATTTAATTTTCTTTCCTTAAATATCGATCGAAAAACCAATTGTACTGTAAAATAAACAGGCACAGCCTTCTCACTGATATTCTAGTTTTTTTTATTGTAGTGTAGGACCTACAAACACTTGTCTTTTTCTTTTACCCACGAGCCCCCTGTAAGCTTTTTCGACCTCCCTGACGGTTGAAAAACACTGACCCACAGGTTGAAAAACACTGAGCTATAGTATAGAGGAAATTAAAAAAAGTACTCTACAATGTTTATTTTAAATATGGGGCCAAGTGGTTAAGCGATTTAGGTTTCCGAACACTGAGAGTTCGGCCGTGAGTTAGCGCTGGCCAGGATGAGCTGACAACGTGGAGTTTTCCGGGTTTTCTCCACATCTGTGACACCTAAACAGTGGCCAGTTTCCTTAAAAAGTGTTCTCAGGAGGCAATTTTCTTCGAGATATCACCACGTGTCGCGTTGTTGTAAACAATTAAATCAAACGTAGCAGTTGTGACGTGATAGAATGTTAAATTTTATCCATAAAAATAAAATTTAAATGTTAATACTGTATAATAATTCTTAAATTTATTTGAATAACGAATTTTAATTATTGTACTCGTAATTATTTTATAATCACGCAACAATTAATTGAATATTTCTTTTATAAATAATAATAATACAGTAGAGCGTCGTTTATCCGAGTAAATTGGGGTCTGGGGTTGTTCGGATAACTTATTTTTCGGATAACTGATTATGTACGAAAAAATATATTAATTTATCCCGTGTTGAAATTTTTCTCCGTTGCGTGTCGCTTCGCGTTGAATTTTCGTCGATGTTAAGCCTAACGAAGACTATTGTATCGTTAAATATTATTTTTTTTATTTTGTACAAACAAAATAAATATATTGAAAAATATAAAAACAAATAAAAAATTATACTTCAGAAGTTAATTTAGTATCAAAAACGTAAAATATTTGAGTAGCCCAAGACATAGCCAAAGATTACAGCGCCACAGCACTGGCGAAAATTTAAATTTGTCGACTGAAATTCCTTCGGATAACCGACGTTTCGGATAAACGACGCTCTACTGTATTTACATTTTTGTGTTTTCATACGTAACGTAGCAATTGCATTAAAACGTACTTGAAAACACGCGATATGCTGTTTTTCATACAACAGTTATTTCTTCCTATCGTAGCTGGTCGTGCAGTTTATAACAATGCTTTCGTATTGTTATCTTTTTCATATTATTCTACTTACTTTTACGATTGCTGATTCAGAAAATGGTAAGTAAATCTTTTTATGGTAAAATTTAACAAAACTTTACTTATTGAACAAAAACTATGTACGTGTGTCATAGTTTGCTTTATTCCTTCTAGTTATGGCACTTCACACCAGCAGTTATTTTATTGTTGTTTCACGCGTTGTTTAAATTTTGTCAGTTGTTGGTGCAGTATGGCCATGAATCCCTTAACGCTAGTAAAAATAAATATACTAACAAACCAAAAAGATTAAACTACAGTGTTCTTTAATTTTTTTTTTCGTGTTCTCGTTGTTAAATTTGTTTGTTTATTAAGTTACGGTAATGGGACACTTGGGCAATGCCTTTTTCACGGTGACTGTTCCCTATTCAGGCGTTACAGACATGGAAAAAAACCCGGAAAACTCCATGTGGTCAGCCCGTCCTGGCGAGGCGCAAACCCAAAACAGAACTCCCAGTGTTCCAGGAATGCTTGGTCCACTGGTGGACCTCTTGTTGTTAAGTGATAAATAGATTAACATTGAACAGAAACGTACTCGGCAAAATAATCAATCGAGTAACAAACACCTTATTCTTTGCCAAGGGAGTTTATTAAAAACTAACGTTTTCGATCTACTCCATAGATCATCCTCAGGTTGATACATTCGAATTTGAAATAACAACAAATAGAACACCAAATTCAAATTCAAAGAGATAAATACAGTAGAACCTCGAAAACTCGGCCTAATGTGGACCGAAGGGTGTCCGAGTTTGTGAAAATGCCGGGTTATCGGGAATGGGGTTTAAAAAAATAAGTACGATTGTTTCCTCAGAAAATACTGTACTGTACTTGTATGTATTGTTGTACTTGTATGTATTGAGAATATAACAGAGAATAAACTGCCCAAATACCCTTAAACAAAAGAAAAGTATGTCCTTTATGAACTTTACTAGCCTTTACTACATGAAAATGAAAATTAATGAATACNATTCTTGCATTCTATGAAAACGGGTAAGATTGGCTATAATGTAATTATCTTAATCTTCACTATCGTTACTTTTCGCCCAGCGAAGTGGGTCCTTGCAGCTAGATTCTAGATTACTTAGAAAAACAGTCTTTTATATATAAAACAAACTATATTACATACAAATAAAAACACAACGAAGCGGGTCCTTGCAGCTAGTAAATAATAAAATGAATTAGGAAGAGAGCATAAAAATGACTGAAATACTTACATTGTTCAAAATAGATTGTCGAATTGTCGACTTTTTTATAAAGTTGCCAGTAAATTCTCTTTTCGGGATCATTGACTAGGCCGAATATCATATATATATACTTACCCCACGGATAATCATGATATTTAAATCTGAAACGATTTAAATGTCGTCTTATATAAAGATAATTGAATTAGTGGCATATAGTATAATTTTAATAATCTTAATACAGTAAATTCCCGGTATAGCAAACTCTGTAAAATTATTTACTATAGGCTTATACATTATAGTCGCGCCAATCCGAACTAATTGAGACAAGTGGTGATTCGGAATAACGGGGTTAAGAATATTGTGTGTACGTTTTGATGCCATTTTTTACTATTGTAAGATAGTGAATAGTAATAAATAGATAGTGAATAGTAAGTTTTCAGTGAATAATAGATATTTGAATTGTTGTTAAGTCAAAGACGGTGACAGAAAGAATGAGCAGCAATACACACGACACGTGAGTTATATCTAATTTATGTGTTTCGAGTATAGAGTAAAATACGTGCATTATTTTAAATAGAAAAATGATACAAACTTTTCAAATTACAAGGGGTTCGGCTTAGCCTGGGCGTAATGTACATAAAAAATAACGAACATGTGTTTACCGTATCGAGTGGTAATGATGTTAAGTCCATTGTAACTAATTTCGACTAGTATTTCTTAATGGATTATCGACTGATAATAAATTCAATTATGAAACGATAAGAAATAAACAAGAACAGAATTTTATCATTTAAATTCTAAAATAGTATGAAAATGTTTACAAAATTAGCAATTGTAATCATGTTTGGACAATATAAATGTAGATGAATTTATAATACATTTTCTATTACACTAAAAAAATGAACCAGCAATGAGTTGCTCAACTTTCTCGGCACCATTTAAAATTTCGGTTGCCTCATCTTTTATCATATTTTATTGAAACAGGTTTTTATATTTCTAGGTAGTATAAAATAACAAAAAGCTTAATTTTGAACATAGAAATGCGTTTTATAAGAAATGCTAATAACGAGTAAAATCGACGTTGTCATGTCCTACCCTACGGGAAATACACACGACCCCTTTTATCTCCCTACCTTCTCGATCTTTAAAATTTAACAGCGTTGATCCTCCTGATAAGCAAAACAGCCTGCAAAATTTTAGAAATTTTTCAAAAAAGCACAGGAATTATTAAACTTCGGGACGTGAACAAAATCCTACATCTCACACACTAACATCGAAATATACAGAAATTCCATTAAATATTTTTGCATTTCTTGACATTTTGAGGAATAATTTTTTTCACCGATCGTCATAATTTCCCTCTGATATATACATCAACCGATAATGTAAAAATAAAATAATGAACAGTTTTATCAAAGATATTTCAATAATTCATGCGCTATATGTGTTACGTTCTGTAATACATAAAATACATAGAGTGGAAAGCCAAACCATTAAAAATAGATATATAAAAATTTTTACTATAATTAGTATTAACGTAGATGATAATTTCTTTTTCTCATTACTTCAATATTCATCTAACACCGTTAAAAAATAAATAAATCTATGGATTTGTTAATACTGTAAACTTGCAATTAGCTGACACCCAGGCCGAAAAGTGACAAAATTACTTGCTTCGTCTGGAAAATTGACAATGCAATGGTAATCATTAAGAATAGTAATCTCATGTCCTCGTGTTCTACACACTAAGGTATTGTATTAATAAAGAAAACCGGTCTTAATTAATAACTTTAAGCAAAAGCCACGAAACTATCTTTTTCAATATAACAATTGACGTGTGCGTAAGAATTTCATGGAGAAAAGAAACAGATAATAAAAACTTACCGAAATTTAATATCTAATTCTGAAGCTAATCGCATGACATCGTAAAACGTTGAATTAACGGGAACGTTCAACAACATATTAGAAATGATATCTTTGTCTTGTCCAACGAAAATAAAATAGCTAACACGGTGCTTCGGGAATTTTTTAGAATCGATTTCTTCCTGCATCGTAACGTTGCCTGAAAAGATTTAATAATAATTGATGTGGAAACTGTAAATACCAAAAGAAATCCAGATACCAACGTGGTTCGACCATGGAGCAATTTAATTTTCCCAAATCGACAAATGTTTTTCTATTCAGTATTGGAAGAATTAAGTAAGTTGCCAAACTATCCCCGAAGGATCCATCTTGGTTTTGTTGCGAAATGATATAATCAACGGCTTTCCTTACAATCCGGTCTTTCGCGATGCTGACGTTTAAATCCACGGAAAATAGCGCCTATTAATATAAATCGACGTAATAAAATTAATAAAACAAAATACATACAGCGTATTTACGTAGTAATGAATTATTGAAACTTACGTGCATTAAAATGGCAGTTGTGTACAAATTTCCGAAGCTACCGTCTTCATTCTGTAACGTCGTTAATTGCTCTTTTATTGCGCTAAAAGATCGAACCTTTCTATTATACTTAAAAGTTTCATCCGTGGAAAAGTTTATTTGATATGACTTAGTTCGGTTTTTCATACACCACAACGCCATAATAGCATACGCCCGAGTATCTGTACAAAACTTTAAAAATTAAATATATCGAACTTTTAAAATTTTATAAGAAATACGATTAAAAGAATTTCAATATTATAAATTTGCCTTTGTTCAATAATTTGATATTTGTCCTTTATCTGTGCACTTGCCCGAATCGAAAATTAAATGTTGTTATTAAATCTTCGGACACTATCTACATTTTAGTTGTATTACATTTCATGTTATATAAGCGACATTAATACAATGATTTGTAATATGTTTGAATTTAGGTAAGAAAATTCTTATTTTTAACACAAATACATAAACAACTTTTTGACAAAATGTATACCTTACAATTAACCTAATGCTGTTGATAGCGTTGCATTACAATACTTATATCTATCTTATCTGTAGCTTTAGCTTGCTTCTAGGTAGATGCTGAATATGATAGAGACGTGTGTACCTTATAGTGTAGTTATAGGTAACGTACTGTATATATAAATAGCGTATTATGTATTTGCAAGATGTCTAATACATACACGCAGCGACAAGAATATAATTTTATTAATTAAAAACATTAAATGTATTATATGAAACACAAATAAGATTGATTAGATATTAGAATATAAGACATATTTTTTCTGTTCATAAACTTTTACTAATCAAATGAAAAATTTATCATTACCTGTCAAGTATGGTGAATTCTTTTTCGTTAATGTAATTTCTTCTAATTTTCTTACTTGCCGTATCGGAAAAGTTTGATTTGAATTACAAATTGCCAATGCAACCATCGGATTAATTGATTCTGACTTTTCCATTTTCTCTTTCAATAATTCCACTAAATCGAACCCTTGAAAGTTTCTCGGATCAGAACAAATTGCCAATAACGAATGTACGTACGATGCTATTTCGTATGCCTCGATATTTTCTACGCCCTTTCTGAAAAAACGTATATATATTTTTACGTAAAACAAGTAATCAATCGTCAAGTACAAAATATTTTGCATTACGTGAGTAAAGTTCCGGAAAGTTGAAGTTTTAGTTGCTTAAACATTAATTGACTTTCATTTAGATCGAAATTCAGACTATCGGAGAGACGAAGTGTGACAATGGCTCGACTGGTGTCCTTTCCCCAACCCCAGTCTGATCTTCGTTGCTTAATTAACCAAGAAAGCCCGTTTCTTCTACTTTCTCTTACTCCAGGTATATCTTCGATTCGATAACCTTTTATTTCTAAAATAAAATAAAAGAAACAAGAAAAAAATAATTACTGTTTATAGCTGATTTTTGATATTTATGTAAATATAATTACAACTTACGGCAATCGCGTTCGTCAGACCCATCTGTACAGTCAAAGTCATTGTCGCATACATATGAAATTGGAATGCACTTTCCATTATTTTTACAATAACTTTGATCATTTTTACAATAGGTGTAATCTGCAAATGGATCAATATTTTATAATAAGATAGTTACTTTCATAAAATATTTTTTAATGTTTGTAACAACATATTCCATGTTAAGGATCATATTCACATGAATGAAATAAATGTTCTGTCTGAAGCGTTTACGTTTAAAAGAAAACACTTATGGATTTTTATATTCGCGTGATATGTTCTAGAATTTATATACCAGGGGTGGGCAGAAAAGAGTTCAGTGGGAGCCGAAATGTAGGTTGTGCAAAATGCATGGAAGCCGCAGTTCTGTACTTTTTTATTCTGTATTCATTTCTGTTTCGCAATTTTNACAACCCCGACATCATCATCCAGTTTTCCAATTTGCATATATCTGGATGATGATGTCGGGATGATAGCCTATAAAATGTGTTAACGAATGAAAATGAATTTCTATGTAATGGTTTACTTAGATTTATGTCACAGAATAGTTAGTGTTTATTAATCACTCTGCCTGTACGTTGTAAATTGAGATTTTAAAAAACCCGATTGTGTCATTGAAAAAAGTGTACGGGAATGGCATTTATGATAGTCATTACGTGACCTTTATGGTTGTCTACAGATACGCCATGTATTGGTCAGGTGTCTGAAATTTCGAGTGAGTTGGCTGAAGAGAGGTGAACACCCGAAACGCAAATGTATAGCACGGCGTACTAACTAAATAAAGATGGAAAACTTCCCAAGTGTTGGTTGAGAGGTCACTTCATTGTGCCAGCATACAATGCATATTCAATAGTTTAGTCATTAATATAGAAGCATTGTTTTAATTAATCAATAAAAGGTGGAGTCAGTGGCTTAACCGAACATTGAAAAATAATCAGAGACATTAGCTCTCTGGAAAGAATTTTTCCTGACATAGAGAACGTTCTGTAATATAATTGTATAAAACCAAGTATCAATAGGATCGATGAGGATTGAAAACATGAGAACTAATGAGTTCTGTATACGATTGTTTGAACTTGGATATCTTACGTCACTAAGCTAGTATTATACCGCATGAAAGTAGCGGATATAGTTAGTTCATCTACTAGATCATGGCATACAGTATACAATTTACCAGACCCGTGACACTCGTGCTTAATTAAAGCTGTGTGGCTATCTGAGCGCTTAATGGTATTCTGGTATACTAATTTAATATTATTAATATCTGAAATGCTAAATAAGTACGAAAAAATAACTTTAAAATGCCAGAAGATGCTCTCCACAGCATAAGTTACGTAAATTTTACAACTATCAAGCCGAAAATTTGTAATTTTATATAGTTAATAGTATATACTACATAGTTATAGAGTATATTAATTTCCACAATTAACTTTATATAGTATACTAATTTAATATTATTAATATCTGAAATGCTAAATAAGTACGAAAAAATGCCAGAAGTTGCTCTCCACAGCATAAATACGTAAATTTCGCAACTATCAAGTGCAAAATTTGTAATTTTAAATAGTTAATAGTATATACTACATAGTTATAGAGTATATTAATTTTCACAATTAATTTTGTATAATATACTATATATATACTGGAGTTACCATTACATATGTAATGTAATATCATGTCTAGTATACGGTTGAATTTTTTAAATACGTTTAATATGATTATTTTAAATATGTCTGGAATTTTAGAAATAATACTTTGTAATAATTAATAAACATTTACTTATAATTTTACTTACATACTACATCGGCATTTGTCATATAAATAAGAAAAATGAAGACGTGCAACAAGAATCTCTTCATTTCTTGAACTTCTGACGAACTGTTAAGTACAGGAGAAAAATAAAATCTGATTAAATTCGTAGAATTTATATCAACACGTCTTAAAATACTTAGAGGAAGTTGATAAAATGTAAACCTGAAAGGTACTCTGATAAGATAATTCTTAAGAAAATGCTGCGTTTAATAAACGAATCACTTATAACGAACAAATATTTAACGTATTTNCGTGCAACAAGAATCTCTTCATTTCTTGAACTTCTAACGAACTTTAAAGTATAGGAAAAAATAAAATCTGATTAAATTCGTAGAATTTATATCAACACGTCTTAAAATACTTAGAAAAAGTTGATAGAATGTAAATTTCAAAGGTACTCTGATAAGATAATTCGTAAGAAAATGCTGCCGTTAATAAACGAATCACTTATGACGAACAAATATGTAACGTATTTTTAAGTAATAAAAGTATTAACTTATAGTTTTCGTACCGTATAATCGTCTATTTATATAAATGAGGGTGTTTGTTTGTTCGCTAGGCACTCATAATGTAGACGGAATTAATTTTAAAATAACAAGCCTTGGGGCCGAGATTTTTTGTAATATAAATAAGGATGTTTGTTTGTTCGCTAGGCACTCATAATGTAGACGGAATTAATTTTAAAATAACAAGCCTTGGGGCCGGGATTTTTTGTAAAATAATTTAAAATTGCCGTATTTTTTTTTAATTTTCGGGCTAGAGACACGCTGTGTTTTTATTTTGTTTGTAAACACTTCATTCTCTGACTATTGTATTTGTTTTTATAATTGACGAGAAAAAATTTTTAAAAAGACAACAGTTCCACGTATTTTCATTAAAAAAAATTAATTTAAAAAATCGTATTGTTTAACACAGTAGTTACAAAGTTGAAGTGTTTCTACGTCTNTAAATAATAAAAAGTATTAACTTATAGTTTTCGTACCGTATAATCGTCTATTTATATAAATAAGGATGTTTGTTTGTTCGCTAGGCACTCATAATGTAGACGGAATTAATTTTAAAATAACAAGCCTTGGGACCGTGATTTTTTGTAAAATAATTTAAAATTGCCATATTTTTCTTAATTTTCGGGCTAGAGACACGCTGACTTTTTATTTTGTCTGTAAACACTTCAGTCTCTCTGATTATCGCATATGTTTTTATAATTGACGAGAAAAAATTTTTAAAAAGACAACAGTTCCACGTATTTTCATAAAAAAAATTAATTTAAAAAATCGTATTGTTTAACACAGTAGTTACAAAGTTGAAGTGTTTCTACGTCTAAGAAAACAAACCGCGTCATTATCGCTTCGATAGAACCCAGCCGATGTTTACGTTGAAAGATTGATTTATGACCGGAGTGTGTCGAGTTACATGTACTGTCATGGCGTCGGCTTCACAGTGTGATAAGCGATACGCATTTGTTTTTTTTTTAATATTTAAGATTTAATACATGTTTTAAATATAATTATTTTGATTGGCTTTGTTTAGGTTGTCAGACTGTAACACTGACAAATCAGTTCATCTCTAGTCATAAATATTCCCTTGAAACTTCACCTTCCTTTAGTAAGACTATGGGAGACCTTACCGTTAATTAGCTTTAAATTTCTTGTTTATACGTCTTTTACTCTCTAATTAGTCATTTATACTACGACTGAATCATTATCAATTAATGAGTGTTTTTTCAGAACTGTCTAATCAGGATTTTCCCGCGAAGAACCAATGACTTCAAAATCACGTGTTCAATGTTAAAACGTAAACAAACGTTGAAGAATAGCTTTTTTCTTCATGTTATTGCTGTAATTTTACTAGTTTTCATGTCATTTGACTTCACTTAGATCAGAAGATTACTCGAAAAATTTTCCGGAAAATTAACTCACCCTGACATTACATAATATGAAAAAATATGCAAATAAACGCATGCAAAATTGCGAATTGTAGTCGAATATTGTAAAAATAGTCGAAATAATATAAAAATAATATATAGTATATATTATCTGGAAGGGAACTTGTGTTAACTTCGACCCTCAGATGACTCATCCATTCCCCTTTTATTAGAGTAATTAGCCCTTTATTGCCGGAATTTTCATTTTTTGATAAAATTTTTTTGTATTTTTCATTTTATCATCAGAAGTGGTGTTTATTAACAGATAAGTGAATAAAAAAAATTAAAATGTAAATTAAAAATTTCTCAATTANTAATATCTCTTGATCGGATTAAAACACATTGTCGAATTAAACCTTTGGTAGCTCGAAATAGTCTAGATACAGGAAACCGACCAATCAAAAGCTAGAGATCTGAGGAAGAGAATCCTTTAAAACCTGGATTTCAAAACATTGAAATATCTGTTAAAGACTTTTGGAAACAATTGAATGTTTAAGATGCCGTAAGAATCATTGGAAAATCATGGAATAAAATTTTCAAAAAACACATTGAATGATGTCTGGAAGAAACTTTGCCCATTGTTTTTTTAAAAACGAGAAGGAAACAACGCCATAAACTTGACATGTCGCTCATATGATCAATTTCAAAAAGTTGTTAATCTTGTTAGATTTGGAAGTCAATGCTGACGATGTGAACGAGCATGATTCACTTACCGTGTTTCCCCAAAAATACGACAGTGCCTTATATTAATGTATGCTCTGAAAGTTGCGCTAGGTCTTATTTTCAGGGCTTGGCTTATTTTTGTATGAAGAAGAATTTACATTTATTTTTGAACAAAAAAATTCTCAAGCCGAATTTAGACGAGAGTGACGTATATCTGGTCGTGTCGAAATGAACTTAAATAAAATCTAAGTCACGAACCGACATCTGTAGATGACTGTTANTAAAATTATCTATTTATATATATATAAGTCTTATATGTATATTAACTATAAAAATGTTAAACAAATTCATAAATTTATAAAACACAATGTAGAAAATACAAATTTCTAACATTTACAAAAAATATTCCCTCAGGCCTAATGGGACTCATAAGTCCCAAACATATTTTGATTTCATACAGCTTGCATACCATTAATTCTACAGACATAATACATTAAAATCAAACTACACATATCTAGAATACATATTAATTAAAGAGGTAATGTTTCTATGTATGTATGTAAGTTTGTTCGGAGATTACCTGCAGCAGGTAATCTCCGATACTACTCATCCGATTTCAAAAATTCTTTCACCAATATTTAGAATGGAATCTCAGGGTGGACATTCCCTGTATATTATTCCGTTAAACATTCATATAAATTAAAAGATATAATCTAGGTTAAGAATTTTATGTCCAACAGATGGCGCTACGAGTACGACGCCCTAAGTTTGCTTTTCTGTGAGGCATTATGCTTTTGTGTGAAAATGAACTACAGCAGATATTAATAAAAATGTAATGTTCGTTTGTTTCTACCGATTCCTTTGAAATTTTGACACAACGCTGCATTCGATTACGCACGTGTTTTTATATAATATACGTGTCGAAATTCCCCTCACTGAAGGGAATTTCGATTACGGTTTAGGATTAAGGCTTACGGTAAAGAACTCTGCTTCTATTTATACTATTTTAAATGCGGGTTTTTGCGTTTTTGATTGCGTTTTAATAGGGTAGTCAAAAGAATGTACACTAAGAAATAATTTTTCGAAAAATTTTTCCCCACGGGGGAAATGTTATACATTTATAATAGATACATTTTGAGCCACGACAACGCGTGGCGGGGTCTGCTAGTATTATATAAATCACTGGTATTATGAGAAATTACAGAAAAATAAATAACTGTATTATTACGTAAATTTTAGTTCTTCTTGTAAGATTTTGAAGAGGTTAAAATTAATTCCTTCAATAATTCTTTTTTCTTTTGCGTCGAATTTCATAATACGATCGATCTGAAACATATTCACGTTAAATTTTTCTTTTAAAAATAGAGGAAACTTTCAGAAATCAAGTTACTTGTACTCCTGCAATTTTCCATAAATTTCCATTACTAGTATTATCTAGGCGATATAAACGCCAAGATAAAACCGTGTTATATCATGATCCAACAGGTACAGCAAATTTGACAGTTGGTACTTCGCATGTGAACAGAAGGGCAGAAGACACAAAACGATTACCAGACGCATATTACAACATTGTGGCACAAAAAGCTATTTACAGAATGCATGTCCTTTCAAAATACCGCTTGATAAGATTTTTCAGCAAGAGGTAGTTGACTTTGTTGTGAAGAAAAAGGCTCAGTTCACAGGGCCAATTCCCAGTTTTAGCATGCAAATTAAGTTTTACAAGTTGCCTTATGTCATAAATCATTTGGCAGGTATAAATATAGTGCCGAACCCCGTCCTCTTCTCTACAGTAACTGCACAGCTTTGAACTTGACTTATGGAATCAACAGAGATACGTGTTGAACTGCCCGTGTCGCGTGAGAAACTGAGTCAACTAAAAGTTTGGACTAAACCACCGACAGTGGAGATGTCGCTCGATGCTCGGAAGGTAGCACCTGCAAATATGATCTTGAAATATAGATTCCCACTCGTGCTGCTAAATGTCAATCATTTCCTTTCGAAAGAGAAGACTAGGTCTCGAGGCTGGAAGAATATAGTAGTTAGTGAAGATGTCACGACAGTCGGCGGCATCCTGCGCCAGCTAGTCAGCTCTTTCGTTCCCTGGAGTATCACAGTGCTCTCTCGTCCACTCAATAGAAAAATTGTTGGTACTAGTTGAGATGATGTTGAAAATGTCCTTGCACAGTAAATGAAGACTGTCCTGTTTTATGAAGCCATGCAAAGCCGCAAAGCTGTCGATGATGTTAATCGCCCTTCCAACAAGGTTCTCCTCACACCAACGAACTGCGAAAAGAATGGTAAGGACTTCAGCCTGGAAGACCGAGCACTCCGGGTGAAGAACATATGTGTGAAAGAAAATTTCTCTTTCTCCTGAAAACACAGAAAAAAAAACACACCCAATGCCATTAATAGTCCTGAATCCATCAATGAGAACTTTCATTATAATATGGTAGCTGTCTATTGGTTTTTGTTATTTGTTAGGAAGTTATGTTATGATTTAAGTAAGTAAACAGATTACGTAGTGAGTCTCACACTTTCATGTAAATAGAAACATTTTATTGTAAATATTCTTTATTTGCATAAATGAAAATTCAAAATATAATTAAATTTATATTCCTGTTTAATTCACACGTTTACGTGAAGCAATACAAAGAAAGAAACATCGTTACAATGCCCAACTGCAAAATTTAATTATCTTTTAACTTTCGTGATTTTCTTCTACACCGGCACTTCATATACAATTAATTGGAATCTCGGAGTCATAAAGTATTCAATATCCAATCTCGATTTTAATCTATCTAACACGGTTGTCGAGATGAAAAATAGGCAAACCACAGTCAGACAAANATTGGCTCATAAATTGATCCCTTCGTCAAACCATATCCCATTGTAAAAGTTTGAACAGAATCACTAGAAATGAGAACTTCTTTATCATCATATTGCTTCAATTCCTGTTTCATGGCAAATTCTTCAGTAATGAAAGCAAATCGTCCTTCTAATACTTTTTGAAATTCATCTTCTTCCGAAAACAAATTCTTTCTCTCTTGAATATGATTATTTATTATTTTAATATGTAATTCTGTCGAATGCTACAAAACAGAAATAAATAAGTTAATAAAATAATTTTTAAAAATTNGGATATTCATGCCTAATTAAAATTTATTAAGTACTTTATTACATTTAAAATAGCATTACGTAGGACTACTATCCTTTGAAAACATTTTAAAACTTTAATTAATTAACTGACGTTGCATTATTCTTCGTTGTATATAGAAATAAATGCAAATAAAAATATGTAGATTCGATTTCAATGTTAGAAAATCTACGGAAAGTGAATGACATCATATTTTCTGAAACACTCCTGAAAATAATACAAACAATTAATAAAGTAAAAAAATATAAAAATAGATCATAAAGTAAAATTATTTTGTCAGTATGAATACAAGAAAAAATAATCTGGAAATTTTTGAATTAATTTGATCCTGTTACTTTTCTAAAGATATCTGAAAATTCTCACTGGTAGCCGAGTGCATAAATCCACTGAACAGTAATCCTTTTAGTTTTGAGTAACATTATTGAAAGTTATGGCGAGCTCTACGATTTATTAAAGTTATTGATACTTACTTTTTTCCAGAATAATGAGAGAATGAAGAACCGGGCAAATAAAAGATGGGTTCGTTACAAGGGGGTTAGAATATTACATAAAAGTGAAGTTAGTGCAACATAATAAATTCATGTTATTGATTAATACAAAATATTAGAATATTAAATACAGAATAATAGTCATTTTATGGAAATCGCGATAAATTGATTATATCTTCCCAGGATCTATATTCTATTAAATACCTTTTCTGGTAGCTTAAGGTTTCTTACAATAAAATATAACATGTTTACAAGATTCGTACACTTGCATACTACAATTACTACAAAATCTCTCAGAATATATCAGTAGAGTACTATTGTATGTCAAAATATAATTTTCACTACACCTCATTGGTTTATGAACATAACGAGTTATGTTCATAAACAAATAATCTGTACACATATAAGTTGTATCCCCCAGCAAAATCTATCTTTTTGTATGGTTTGTTCACAGCATACACTTGTAACAAACGTTTGATAGATTTCGATCAAATGAAGATCTTGAGACAACCATAGGAAAGAGAAACCGTGTCGATTTATAAAATTTTCAATCTAAGTAATTGCTCATAGAGGAGCAGCATAATGTAATACAGACGAAATTATCGAACCAAATAAGTTTACATAGATTTAAGCAGAATTAATTGTAGCTCTTGAAAGAATAGGCCATATTGAATTTATTGTTATTTTAGACTTATATATATATATATATATAATAATTTTTAGCCTGTATACATTATATAGAAGATAAAAATAATACTCCCAAGTAGATGTAATTCGTAACGACCTGTAGAAGCTGATTATAATAAACCATTTTTCTCTGTATGATCGAATACCATTACTTTTGTTTTAGAAACATCTATAGTTAATCCATAGACACAGAAAATTTCTCCAAAATTGCAATTTTACATTTTGACATTTGTGTGGTATTAGCAAGAATTACAGTGTCGTCAGCATGCATTAATATATGTAACTCAACTTGATCAGAGAGAGAACTCCAGGTAAGAAAAATTTAGCGTGTCGAATTATCAGATTATTAACGTAAAAATTAAAAATTAATAGGCTCAAAATTTTATCCCAAACTCCAATATCAATACTAAATGAATCAGTCATTTCGGCTAATATCGTCACTCTTGCAGTAATTTTGGTATATATATCAATTATAATGCCAGGAAACTGTTTATTCATGCCCATTCTTTCTAATACAGACCAAAATACCATATTGCATTTTTATCACACTTTACGCATTTTTTTCTTTAAAAAACAAATATCTAAAATCTAAATATCTATACCAATAAACCGTTTCTATTTCATGTGTTTCTCGTTAATTTTACATTTATATAATTGAATGTTAGTTAAAAGTTACGTTAATTATAATTACACCGAAATAAAAATATATAATTATTCACTATTTTCTATGTACTTTTTAAAATTTACCTTTGTAACAATTGAGCCTCAACGTTAAGACTTTACACATGTCTGATTGTTTAATTAATAAATGTCGTAGAAAAATTGGTGGAGCGAGATTCAAATATCAAACTCAGAGAAAACATCTAAATAAAGGAAAATCTGGGAGTGCCATGTTTTGACTAAACGTCATACTCTTTCTCTTTGTTATATGTAATAGAAGAAATATTAAAAAAACAAAAATTCACGATTTCATAAAATTAAATTCTCGGTTACAGTTTAGGTGTTCAAAAACTCTTAAACAACTGAACTTGGTTCAGGTGTTTCAGAATTGCGGTTCAACTATCAATCAAAAAATACAGTAGTATTGAGTATATGTAAATTAGATAATATATTCGATAATATACCATTTCTCACGGTAAAATCACAATTTTATTGCTATTGCGTTTAGTATTTATAAAATGACAAAACTTACAGTAAAAGTTTTTTAGTCGTTCAATGGTTTATACCAGTAAACGTATACATCGTTCTCTTCAGGAATCACTTTATCGGGTGCTGCAAAATATATAAAAATATAATTTCGCATATTTGTAAGAATCGAATTAAGAAGAACATTAAACAATTATGTAAATAATAAAACGAATTAGGAAGTGAGCATAAAAATGACTGAAAAACTTACATTGTTCAAAATAGATTGTCGAATTGTCGACTTTTTTATAAAGTTGCCAGTAAGTTTTTTTTTCGGGATCATTGACTAGGCCGAATATCATATATATATATTTTCCCCAAGTATAATCATTATATTTAAATCTGAAACGATTTAAATGTCGTCTTATATAAAGATAATTGAATTAGTGGCATATAGTATAATTTTAATAATCTTAATACAGTAAATTCCCGGTATAATAACCTCTGTAAAATTATTTACTATATACATTATGGTCGCGCCAATCCGAACTAATTGAGACAAGTGAATAACAGGTTCAGGATATTGTGTGTACATTTTGATGCCATCTTTTACTATTGAAAGATACTTTTCAGTAGATAATAGAAATTAGAATTGTTGTTAATTAAGTCAAAGACAGTGACAAAAAAATACACATGACACGTTAGTTATATCTAATTTATATGTGAGTTTCGAGTATCTAGTAAAATTGATTCGTGCATTATTTTAAATAGAGAAATGGTACAAACTTTACGGATTACAAGGGGTTCGTCTTAGAATGGGATACTGTACATAAAAGAACAGCAAACATGTGTTTACCGTATCGAGTGGTAATTATGTTGAATTGGTTAAATGGTATGGTTTATCGAGTTATTATAAATTCAATTATGAAATAAACAAGAATAGAATTTCATCATTTAAATTCTAAAATACTATGAAAATGTTTACAAAATTAGAAATTTTAATCATGTTTGGACAATAAAATGTAGATGAATGTATAATGCATTTTCTATTACACTGAAAAAATGAACCAGCTCAACTTTCTCGGCAACATTTAAAATTTCGGTTGCGTCATCTGTTATCATATTTTATTAAAACAACTTTTTATATTTTCAGGTATTTGAAATAACAAAAAGCTTAATTTTGAAGGTTGAAATGAGTTTTATAAGAAATGCTAATAACGAGTAAAATCGTCGTTAAATTCTACACTACTGGTAATACACAGGAGCCTTTTTATTACCCTACTCCCTCGACCTATAATCATAAAAATTTAACAGCATTGATCAATCTAATAATCGAAACTTCCTGCAAAATTTTAGAAATTTTCCACAAAAAGCACAGGAATTATTAAACTTCATAGAAGGTGAACAAAATCCCACATGCTAACATCAAAATATACAGAAATTACCATTAAATATTTCTGCATTTCTTGACATATCAAGGTATCTCCCAACTTTAGAAATGTAAAAATTTTAGGGAATAATGTTTTCAACCATCGTCATAATTTCCCTCCGTTATATACATCAACCGAGAATGTAAAAGTAAAATGATGAACGGTTTTGTCAAAGATATTTCAATAATTTATGCGCTATATGTGTTACGTTCTGTAATACATAAAATACATAGAGTGGAAAGCAAAGCCATTAGAAATAGATATATAAAAATTTTTACTCTTATTAGTATTAATGTAGATGATAATTTATCCTTCTCATTCCTTGAATATTCATCAAACACCTTTAATAAATAAATAAAGCCATTGATATGTTAATACTGTAAAACTTGCAATTAGCTGACACCCTGGCCAAAAAGTGACAAAATTACTTGCCTCGTCTGGAAAATTAACAATGGAATGGGAATCATTAAGAATAGTAATCTCATGTCCTCGTGTTCTACACACTAGGGTATTGTATTAATAAAAAAAAACGGTCTTAATTAATAACTTTAAACAAAAGCCACAAAACTACCTTTTTCAATATAAGAATTGATGTGTGGGTAAGAATTTCACGGAGATAAGAAACAGATGATAAAAACTTACCGAAATTTATTATCTAATTCTGAAGCTAATCGCATGACGTCGTAAAACGTCGAATTAACGGGAACGTTCAATAAAATATTAAAAATGATATCTTTGTCTTGTCCAACGAAAATAAAGTAGCTAACACGGTGCTTCGGGAGTTTTTTAGAATCGATTTCTTCCTGCATTGTAACCTTACCTAAAATAATTTAATAATAATCAATGTGGAAACTGTAAATACCAAAAGAAATTCAGATACCAACGTGGTTCGACCATGGAGCATTTTAATTTTCCCAAATCGACAAATGTTTTTCTATTCAGTATTGGAAGTATTAAGTAAGTTGCCAAACTATCCCCGAAGGATCCGTCTTGGTTTTGTTGCGAAATGATATAATTAATGGCTTTCGTTACAATTTGTTCTTCCGCGATGCTGAAGTTTAAATCCACGGAAAATAGCGCCTATTAATATAAATCGACGTAATAAAATGAATAAATTACAATACATACAGTGTATTTACGTAGTAATGAATTATTGAAACTTACGTGCATTAAAATGGCAGTTGTGTGCAAATTTCCGAAGCTACCGTCTTCATTCTGTAACGTCGTTAATTGCTCTGTTATTGCGCTAAAGGATGGAATTTTTCTATTATACTTAAAAGTTTCATCCGTGGAAGAGTTTATTTGATATAATTTAATTCGGTTTTCCATACACCACAAAGCCATAATAGCATACGACCGAGTATCTGTAGAAAATTTCAAAAATTAAATATATCGAACTTTTAAAAATTTATAAGAAAGACGATTAGAAAAATTTCAATATCATAAATTTGCCTTTTTTCAATAATTTGATATTTGTCTTTTATCTGTGCACGTGTCCGAATCGAAGAATAAATGTTATTATTAAATCTTCGGACACTTTATACATTTTACTTATTTATGTTATATAGGGGAGATCGGGGCAAGATCGGCATGTTAAGCTTTACTTAAATTTTGTGTAATAAATACTGCTGTAAACTGAAAAAAAAGCTTTGCATATTGTCTATTGGAATGTTACCTTACTATAGAANCTTAACTTTAAACTTCGAAAGACTTATTTGTAAAGTCTGAAATTTAAATTGCTCTCTTTAATTAAATAAACGACATTAATACAATGCTTTGAAATATGTTTGAATTCAGGTAACAAAATTCTTAATTTTTACTCAAATACATAAACAACTTTTTGACAAAATGTACACCTTACAATTAACCCAATGCTGTTAATAGTGCTGCATTACAATACTTATCTGCTGCATTAGCTAGCTTTAAGGTAGATGCTGTATATGCTACAGACGTGTACCTTATAGTGTAGCTATAGGTAAAGTACTGTATATATTAGTAGCGTATTCTGTATTTGCAAGATATCTAATACCATACACGCAGCGGCAAAAATATATTTCTATTAATTAGAAAAATTAATTTATATATAAAATTTCTATTATATGAAACATACATATGATTGATTAGATATTAGAATATAAAACATATTTTTTCTGTTTATAAACTTTCATTAATCAAATGAGATATTTATCATTACCTATCGAGTATGGTGAATTCTTTATTATTAATGCAGTTTCTTCTAATTTTCTTACTTGCCGTGACAAAAGAGTTTCATTTGAATTACAAATTGACAATGCAACCATAGCATTAATTGATTTTGTCTTTTCCATTTTCTCTTTCAGTAATTCAACTAAATCGTACCCTTGAAAGTTTCTCGGATCAGAACAAATTGCCAATAACGAATGTACGTACGATGCTATTTCGTATGCCTCGATATTTTCTACGCCCTTTCTGAAAAACGTATAGGCCTATATATTTTTACGTAAAACAGGTAATCAATCGTCAAGTACAAAATATTTTGCATTACGTGAATAAAGTTGCAGAAAGTTGAAGTTTTAGTTGCTTTAACATTAATTGACTTTCATGTAGATCGAAATTCAGACTATCGGAGAGACGAAGTGTGACAATGACTCGACTGGTGTCCTTTCCCCAACCCCAATCTGATCTTCGTTGATTAAGCAACCAAGAAAGCCCCCTTTTTGTACTTTCTCTTACTCCAGGTATATCTTCGATTCGATAACCTTCTATTTCTAAAATAAAATAAAATAAGATAAATAAGAAAAAAATAATTACTGTTTATAGCTATATTTGATATTTATGTNCCTGACTGAGTGACTCATTCACTGATTCATCATTGCCCAGAGCAAACCGCTGAACCTAAATAGGTGAAATTTGGTAAACAATTAGGGTACGTCATGAAAACGCTAAGAATGGATTTTTCGAAATTCCCCCGCGGGAGGGAGAGGGAGAGGATTAAGGCTTAACCGGAAAAACGGCTTCTATAGTGTTATTTTAGTTGCGATTTTTTCCTTTTTATCTGCGTTTTAGTAGGGTATGCCATGAGAATGCACACTAAAAAGAGATTTTTCGAAATTTACCCGCGGGCGGGAGAGGGAGAGGTTTTAGTCTTCATCGAGTACTTAGGTGTATCAAATTAATAACATTTCAGACATTGTTATAAATATTTTTATGTATTTCCTTTTTAAAAATGTTCGAATGGCTTTAAATTCGAATTTGTTATTGCATATTGGTTCGATTATAGAATGATTGTAACGTTTTAGAAACGTTGAAACTAGTTGGTTTGACTGGACGTGAACAGGAGACGTTCAGAAATAGAATCGGGACCTAATTTGTCTGGAAAGAAGGGACCTAATTTTTGCATTCTGTGAAAACGGCTAAGATTGGCTATAATGTAATTATCTGAATCTTCACTGTCGTTACTTTTTGCCCACAAAAACCCAGCTAAGCGGGTCCTTGCAGCTAGTTAGAATATAAAACATATTTTTTTCTGTTTATAAACTTTTATTAATTAAATAAGATATTTACCTTTATCTGTCAAGTATGATGAATTTTGCATCATTAATGCACTTTCTTGTAATTTTTTTTTTGCCGTGACGAAAGAGTTTGATTTGAATTACAAATTGCCAATGCAACCATCGGATTAATTGATTTTGTCTTTTTTATTTTTTCTTTCAATAATTCAACTAAATCGTACCCTTGAAAGTTTCTCGGATCAGAACAAATTGCCAGTAACGAATGTACGTAGGATGCTATTTCGTATGCCTCGATATCTTCTACGCTCTTTCTGAAAAACGTATATATATTTTTACCTAAAACAAGTAAACAATAGTTAAGTACAAAATATTTTGCATTACGTGAGTAAAGTTGCAGAAAGTTGAAGTTTTAGTTGCTTTAACATTAATTGACTTTCATTTAGATCGAAATTCAGACTATCGGAAAGACGAAGTGTGACAATGGCTCGACTGGTGTCCTTTCCCCAACCCCAATCTGATCTTCGTTGCTTAAGCAACCAAGAAAGCCCCCTTTTTGTACTTTCTCTTACTCCAGGTATATCTTCGATTCGATAATCTTCTTTTTCTAAAATAAAATAAAATAAATAAGAAGAAACTAATTATTGTTTATAGCTGATTTTTGANGATAGTTACTTTCATAAAATATTTTTAATGTTTTTAACAACATATTCCGTATTAAGGATTATATTCATATGAGTAAAATGAATGTTCTGTCTGAAGCGTTTAGGTTGAAAAAAACACTTATGGAGTTTTATATTTGCTTGATATGTTCCAGAATTTATATACCACGGGTGGGCAGAAAAAAGTTCAGTGTGAGCCGAAATGTAGGTTGTGCAAAATGCATGGAAGCCACAGTTCTGTACTTTTTTATTCTGTACCGCACTTCTGTGTCGCAACTTTATTATATAATATAAATGTGGAGAGCGAAACGCCATCTGCCAACGAGACGACGAGAGCGGGACGAGACCCGACTTCGCGAGAGCCGACGACGGTTGAAGAAGAACGCGCAAAAAGACGAAAGACGAAAAAGAAGTCATACATTTGTTTTTTACAATAATCACAATATTTTTTATGTAATTTGTATTCCTTAAAACGTTCCTGTTATCCAAATCTTTCTTACCTCAATTAAAGTTTTTCAAAAGACAAAAAAAAAGTCTCACATAAAACAAATATTGAATATTTCTAATAAACATATTTTTCACAAAATTGTAGAAATAAAATTGTAAAAATAATAATAAAAAGCAGAAATTAACACTTTCAGCAAGATCCACATTTGCCCATGTCTNTATGTGTAAATATTAGTTGGTTCATTTGACAGGTAGTATGCTTAGCGAATTGGCATTAAAAACCTGATTTCTGAAGAAAATAAAATAAATAAGAAGAAACTAATTATTGTTTATAGCTGATTTTTGATATTTATGTAAATATAATTACAACTTACGGCAATCGCGTTCGTCAGACTTATCTCTACAGTCTGCCGCACCGTCGCATACCCATTCAATTGGAATACACCTTCCATTATTTTTACAATAACTTTGATAATTTTCACAATAGGGATAATCTGCAAATGGATCAATATTTTATTATAAGATAGTTACTTTCTTAAAATATTTTTTAACGTTTTTAACAACATATTCCATATTAAGGATCATATTCATNCAACCATGAGTACCCAATAATTGAATCGACACAGGATATTGATCGTTATGTTGAAATGCTAACGAAAGACATGCAAACAGCTGGTAAACGAGCAGGAAAATTGGTGAGGAAAAAAATTAACACCAAAACTCATTGGTGGACGGAGGAACTGGAAAAACAAAGAAAGAGAATAAATAAAATGAGAAAAGGATATCAACGTGCAACAAACAACGAACAAAAGCAACAACTGAAAGAAAAATATAAAGATCAGCTTAAAACATATAAAAAGAACATCAATACAACTCGATCAACTGCTTGGAAAAACTTCTGTGACAAATGCAACAGCAAAGGGCCATGGGAACTTCCATACAGCATTGTTATTAAGAAAAGAAAAAAGCTAAAATTACCTGAAATAATAAACTGGAATGGGGAAAACAGCGGTAACGATCCCTATAATATTGAGGAAAACCTGCGAAAATTACTGGAATTCCACTTTCCACTGGATGGAATAGAAGATGAAGACAGAACAGTAAACCATCAAAGTAAGAACACAAACAACGAACAGGAACACAGATGCAAACTTTTCACATTCAACGAAGTAAAACAAGCAATAAATACTATGGGAAGGAAAAAAACACCAGGACTGGATTTAATAACAGCAGAAATGCTAAAACACGCCTTTGATGAAATCCCGATTGTATTTGTACATCTGTTCAATGAATGTCTAAAACAAGGATATTTTCCAGTAACATGGAAAGTGGCAAATATTAAGCTTATCCCAAAAAAAGAGAACCCGGAGAAAGCTTCGGATTACAGACCTATCAGTTTATTACCTTCCATGGGGAAAGCATTAGACGGATTAATAATTAAAAGAATCAATTGGGAATTACATAGTAAAAACAAGATGCACAGAAATCAATATGGATTTAGACCAAACAGATCGACGTTACATGCATTATTAAGTGTAAAGGAATTTGTCTATGGAGCATGGGAAAAGAAGAGTCACGCCCTACTAATTTCAATAGATTTCAGCAAGGCCTTTGACAACCTTAGATGGGAGGATATCTTTAACACAATAGATGAATTACAAGACTCCACATACGAAAATAAACTACTACGTAGCTATTTAAAGGACAGATACATTCAATTCTATTCAAATACAATAAACATAAAGAAAAAAATCAAAAAAGGATGCCCACAAGGTTC